CCCAGGAAGTTCAGCAACTTTTTGCACAGAGGAGTTTTTGCACAAACAAACATCTTACTATGCACCATGGGACAAGAAAAGGCTGTTAGCACACAGGTGGTCAATGGTCTAGAAATCAGCGGAATATTGGAGACATTTTTTTGTGGAACTCCCTCAAGTGTTCTCTTAAAAGGACATTCCAGTCAACAGACAAAATATTCCACAGCAAGAGGATATTAAAAGATGGAAATACCTTGACGAGGTTTATATTCCTCAGATTGATGCAGGTGTTAGTTTGTTAATAGGAACAAACGTACCCAAGGCACTGGAGCCATGTAAAGTCATCAATAGCAGAGGTGAAGGGCCGTATGCTGTAAAGACCATGATGGCAAACAGGATTGAACTGGTGAGTTTGGAGGACTCATCCAACAGCAAATGAGGTATGATTTCCCTGAGTTCCAGCAGCGTGGCAAATTAGAGATGTCTATATAGGATAGACAGTTTATGGACTCTGTGTCACAGTCTGTGAAACTGGTTGATGGGCACTGCAGCATTGACCTCCCTCTAAGAAAAAAGGATTGGTTGTTTCCCAATAACCATTATGTTACTGTCCAGCGAGCTCAGTTCCTGAAGAAGAAATTCAAAAGAAATCCACATTTCCACCAGGATTATTGCAACTTCATGGAAGACACGTTGCAGAAGGGTCATGCTGAAAAGGTCCCTAAAGGACAAATCGAAGGAAGACTCGGTAGGATTTGGTATCTGCCACACCATGGCATGTACCACCCACAAAAGAACAAATTGCGAGTGGTCTTTGACTGTGCAGCGACTAACCAAGGGATATAAACCGGATTTAAACAACTCTCTTGTTGGTGTGCTGACCAAGATTTAGACAAGAGACTGTTGCCCTTGCAGGAGATGTGGACGGGATGTTTCATCAGGTTATTGAACTGAAATTGAACTTGCATAGAGAACTTTTGAATCAACCTTTCTTGTGGTTCCTTGTTCTGTTGCTTCATAATTCATAATCAATAATGATATCCCTATGTGTAGTGTTTCTAATGAGGGATTAGTTAAATAATTGTGGTGGTTTTTACCCCTGGCGCCCGAACTCAATCTTTTAAGTGCAAATACCATCACAATGTTCCAGCTAAGGATGCAGACCTGTTAAGGTTCCTGTGACGGCCACAAGGGAACACTGCTGTGGAAATGGAGGAGTATAGGATGACAGGGCAATAAAGCACAGCTTGGGCCAGAGTTCATCAAAACAGTCATGAAAAACTTATGTGGATGACTGTCTGTGGCTACGGAGCAGCAGGGATTTGCTCTGATGCATGATATAAATGCACTGTGTGCATCAGGAGGATTTAACTTGACTAAGTGGATTTCTAACAGTCGATCTGTGCTTGCATCAGTATGCAAGGAAGACAAGGGCAAAACCAGTCAAAGACCTGGATCTAACGAAGGACAGGTTACCTATGGAAAGAGCCTTGGGGATTTTTTTAGAGCCCTGGGGATTTTTCTAGAGCCCTAGTGGTGTGTGGAGACTGACACTTTAAGGTTCAAAGTCATGTTGAAAGAAAAGCCACTGACCAGGGGAAGGATTTTATCTATGGTCAGCTCCATTTATGACCCTTTTGGGATACTTGCTCCAGTCATTTTTCCTGTAAAGCAAATACTACAAGAGCTGTGTAGAACAAGGCATGGATGGGATGACAGTATTCCAGAAACCCTCGGACAAAATTGGAACTCGTGGCTGTCAAATCTACACCAGCTAAACAACTTCAAAGTCTGCAGATGTGTGAAGCCACCAAATTTAGGTGAAATTACCTCAGCACAACTACATCGCTTTGCAGATGCCAGTGAACAAGGCTATGGCACTGTCACATACTTGCTAATGGAAAACCACATAGGTAAGAGGCACAGTGCATTAATTATGGGAAAAGCATGGGTAACCCCATTGAAACCTGTTACCATTCTAGGGGTGGAAATCTCTAGGCACCTCACGATTCGATTACGATTCAGAGGGCTGCGATGCCAAAACAATTATCGATGCATCTTTTTTGAGTGTAAATACTTGTTACTTTTAAAGAAAAGTATTTATAATGACCCATAAAGAATTTACTTCCAATACTTCCTATATTAATTTTTTTAATAAAACAAAATGGAAGTGATGTGGCAAGTCAACTGTAGGTTACATTTGCCAGCATATGTCCCAACATTGCAAAGAACCAACAGGAAAATAAATGTGTGCCTGTACTAGCAGGATACTTGTAGTAAATTAATACAAACTTCAGCATATTCCGAATCTCTAAAATTCAATAATATACTTCTAACCAATATCCTCCTGTTATGTGCAATGAGCAATATAATCCTTCAGACGAAAAAAAAAAAAAACCAAAACATTTTGCGTTAGCAAAATCACAAAACAGCTTTCGTTCAAAAATACAGAATTATGTACCAGCAGCTCTCTACAAAAAAAAATTCTTGTGGACTTGCACATATTCTGAATAATTAGTAACATACAAAGCCGCTCTTATACACATACATTTTTGCTGTATACCACAATCAAAAACCGCTTATAGAAAAAAGGTACATTTTCTCTGAACATCTGCAGAGAGCACAGTCAAAATGTAACTTTTTGTGACTGGCATTGCACTGATACACACTGTGACTGTGGAGGGCAGTGCAGTAAACCTATGTATAACAGATCGGTTTACAGCATATTGATTTGAAAACTAAACAATACAGAAAGCAGCTCTCATAAATTAAAAAAAGAAATAGGTCACAATGAAATTGCCAATTTTCCATATGTTAGCTTTTAACAATGAGGGTGCAGTTTGAATTTCTCGCTCAGCCATCATGCGTCTCTGTTATGCGCACACCACAGACTGGCCGGGCACTGCACTTCCGTGCTTCAGTTATGCCTTTTGCGTTCCATCAATATTATGTTATTAGAGAGAGAAAAAAAAATTGAAAATAAATTGACATTTGTAAATCGATTCAGAATCGTCCGCATCGCGATGCATCTAAGAATTGATTTTTTCCCCCCACCCCTATACCCTTCCATGACCCGAACTAACTGCTGCAACAGTGGCTGCTAAGATAGACAGTGTGCTTAAGATCTGAACTGGATTTGGAGCTTCAGGAGTCTGTATTCTGGACAGACAGTAATTCAGTCCTGAAGTATCTGTCAGATGAGAGCTCCAGGTTCCGCACTTTCGTGGCCAATAGAATCAATGTGATCAGGGAACATTCAAAGGCATCACAGTGGAGGTATGTGAGCACCACATCAAATGCAGCTGATTGTGCCTCTAGGGGGCTTAGTATGAATGCATTTCTTAAAGAGAAGTTATGGATTGCAGGTCCACCCTTCCTCACCATGCCAGAATCAGAATGGTCAAAAATGTCTAACCATACTCTCCGGGCACCTGTCAACGATTCAGAAATAAAGGAAGTGACCGTCAATACAACCGTCTGTTGAAAAGCCCGATTATACATCCCAGCTCATTCAGCATTATTCAGACTGGTATCATTTGAAAAAGGCTGTTCCATGGTTCCTCAAATTGAAAAGCTTGCAAAGGACACTGGCGGAGAAAGGGAAAGATATGTCCCACTGTATCAGGCCAAATGGGTCACAAAGGTACACAGAGCTTGAGAACCAGATGAACGCTTCAAAACTTCTCTGCCAGGTTTGTCACTGGCTGTAAATTACTTCCAAGAAGCAGAGAAAGAGATTATCTGCTACAGCCAAAAACGCATGTTCTCTGAAGAATTCTGTTTGCTCCAACAAGGAAGAACTGCAACGTACAAGTTGTTGCAGCCCTGAATGTTTCTACTAGAACAGGGTTTTTTAAACTGTGGGTCGCAACCACAGTCTATGGTCGCAACCCATTTGTCGGTCGCAGAGTGGGAAGAGGTGGGTTGTGCAGCACTATTGGCTGCAGCTAAATTTACATTTCATGAATGACACACGCACTGCACACACAAACAGGTTGCACGATGAACCAACATTAAATAGATAATCACTATATTGCTTAGTCAGTGTGATTTTCGAATCGCAAAGGCTGCGATTTAATAAAAAAATAAAATATAAAAAGTCAGAATTGGGTTTACTTGTGATAATTTTCAGCGTCTCAGAACGGCTCGGTTCTTTAAGCGGATGCTTTCCTTTACAAGTTAATTTTTTTAATTGAGTAATATAGTAAATAAATTTATTCGTAGACAATGTGTGTACAAAGCTAACTAAGTGTTTAAGACAAAATAAAACGTGTTTAGGAATGAAAAATTATTCATGTTTAAGAAACAATAACTGTGTACAGCATTGTATAAAATTAAATGCATTTAGCCATGGATTACTCATTAGATTTTTAGAAAATCCAGTCTCATGTTCACAAAGGCTGCTTTTGTTTGATCAAAAGAAAATAAATAAACTTTATATACATTTTAAAAAGGATATTTTAAAATGTAATTGATGCCTGTGATGGCCACTTCTCAAGTCTTCAGTGTCCCATGATCTTTCAGAAATAACTATAATATTTGGGGCTCAAGAAACATTTCTTAATATTATCAATGTTGATAGTGCTGCTTAACATTTTACCTAGTGAAAAAAAAAACCTATACCAAAATATATTTAAAAAACATTTATTTAATTTAAGTACATAATTATGTAAATGTTTTTGTAGAATACTTGCCATAAAATAAATGTATTTCAAATACATTTAGGTATATTTATTTTTCATTAGAGATGCGTTTGTTTATCAGGATTCTTAGATGAATAGAAAGTTCAAAAGAACAGCATTTTTAATTTGTAACAATTATAAAAATAAAAAACACTTTCTGACCTCAAACCTTTAAATCGTGAAATCTGTAGTGCTATGGCCTGTGCTGTATTGCATTGTCAGATGAGTCGTTTGCATTAAACTGAATTAAATCTGTATTGACAGATGGGTTTCATTTTTAAAGCATTAAAGTATTACAATTTAGAAACTAACTTCATTTTGCTTGTGAGTAGACCTTACCTGGTGCCCTTGGAGCATGAGCTGTCCAGCGTGGCACAGGCCGCAGGTTTGGTAAAGTGTTGTATATAGAGCGAACCTGATGCTAGAAAAGCATATATGCAAGTTCACACAGCATAAGTAATGCAGATAATGCAATCATCATGTTAAACCAAACATGCATATAAACCTTTCCACCCACTTGCGGCACAGAGGTCATGTAGTAACCAGAGCTCTGCTGGTAGGTGGTGGGTATTGCAGGGCTGGGGATGGCTCGAATGCTGGCTAGTCTCTGCATGTACTGATTGGTGAGGATGGCTTTTCGCTCCTCTTTTCTCTGGGCAAGAGCCACATAAAGTGGTTTAGTGCTAACAATACGGCCATTCATCTCAGTCACTGCCTTTGTGGCCTCTTCGGGAGAAGAAAAACATACAAAGCCAAAGCCCCTACTGTGGCCTCCATCTGTCATCACCTATCCCAAAAATACACAACAGTCAAATAAACGAGACTTAAATGTATTCATCTCAAAGTAAAAATGCATAAACAAACGTGAGAAAATGTCCCTTTTTCTCAATAAGCACTGCCATCTGCATGTAATATCACAATTAATAAAGTCCCACCCACTTAAAAAAAAAAAAAATATATATATATATATATATATATATACACTCACCGGCCACTTTATTAGGTACACCTGTCCAACTGCTCGTTAACACTTAATTTCTAAGCAGCCAATCACATGGCGGCAACTCAGTGCATTTAGGCATGTAGACATGGTCAAGACAATCTCCTGCAGTTCAAACCGAGCATCAGTATGGGGAAGAAAGGTGATTTGAGTGACTTTGAACGTGGCATGATTGTTGGTGCCAGAAGGGCTGGTCTGAGTATTTCAGAAACTGCTAATCTACTGGGATTTTCACGCACAACCATCTCTAGGGTTTACAGAGAATGGTCCGAAAAAGAAAAAACATCCAGTGAGCGGCAGTTCTGTGGGCGGAAATGCCTTGTTGATGCCAGAGGTCAGAGGAGAATGGCCAGACTGGTTCGAGCTGATAGAAGGGCAACAGTGACTGAAATAACCACTCGTTACAACCGAGGTATGCAGCAAAGCATTTGTGAAGCCACAACACGCACAACCTTGAGGCGGATGGGCTACAACAGCAGAAGACTCCACCGGGTACCACTCATCTCCACTACAAATAGGAAAAAGAGGCTACAATTTGCAAGAGCTCACCAAAATTGAACAGTTGAAGACTGGAAAAATGTTGCCTGGTCTGATGAGTCTCGATTTCTGTTGAGACATTCAGATGTTAGAGTCAGAATTTGGCGTAAACAGAATGAGAACATGGAACCATCATGCCTTGTTACCACTGTGCAGGCTGGTGGTGGTGGTGTAATGGTGTGGGGGATGTTTTCCTGGCACACTTTAGGCCCCTTAGTGCCAATTGGGCATCGTTTAAATGCCACGGCCTACCTGAGCATTGTTTCTGACCATGTCCATCCCTTTATGGCCACCATGTACCCATCCTCTGATGGCTACTTCCACCATGTCACAAAGCTCTAATCATTTCAAATTGGTTTCTTGAACATGACAATGAGTTCACTGTACTAAAATGGCCTCCACAGTCACCAGATCTCAACCCAATAGAGCATCTTTGGGATGTGGTGGAACGGGAGATTCGCATCATGGATGTGCAGCCGACAAATCTGCGGCAACTGTGTGATGCCATCATGTCAATATGGACCAAACTCCCTGAGGAATGCTTCCAGCACCTTGTTGAATCTATGCCACGAAGAATTGAGGCAGTTCTGAAGGCAAAAGGGGGTCCAACCCGTTACTAGCATGGGGTACCTAATAAAGTGGCCGGTGAGTGTATATATATATATAACATAACAGAATGGAGCTAGAACGAATTGGAGTTTGCTAAAATAATGCCTAAATAGCTGTGCAAATTATGAAACCCCAGATGTGTTACCCAAATAAATTGTGACTTTACAATTGACATCACTTATTGGTATAGGACACTCATAATGTAATAACTGCACATAATGTTAAAAATGCAAATAATGTAATAAGTATTAAATTATTATTGTAATAAAATGTTCATAATGTAATAATTCTCAAAACAAAATCTTGACCTCATAATGTAATAATTTTTCCATTATGAGAAATTTACTACATTATAAACTCGCCCAAAACATGTCATTCATAATTGTAATAGCTTAAAAATAATAGCATTCCCTTACAGTACATTTTTAATCTAAATCCAGTCTTATACCAGCTGCGAAATGCAACAGATTTAAATATTCACGCAATTATTATTGTTATTATTATTATTGTTGTTATTAAACAAAGCATTGGTATTCCTTTACAGTACATTTTAAAAATTCAGTCTTAAAGCTGCAGTCCGGCTTTTTTCCTCTCTGTCGCCATCTCTGTTCGAAATCTGCAATTGCAGTCATTCGCGGAATTTGTACTTTATGCGAGTTGTACTTCAACACCCTCGACACCTCACAGCGCGGATAAACACAATGTTTGAGGAGACTGTGAGGCTGTCAGTCACCGCACCGATGTGGATACTGGCATTCAGAATCACAGATTATTCTTTTTGGAAGTATGACCAACATAAGAATTTTCCCCGGAAAATGTCATCTGAACTAGTAAGAAACATCCACTTTTGTTCTGGTTCTGACATTGCAGTAAATCGCGCTGATTAAATCTAACAATCGCTTATAAACCGTGCAAATTATACTTTGTTCTCAAATTGTTAATGTTAACAACGTCAGCATTGCGTGACTACATGTAATGTCCTTCCAATATGTATCCTTGTTTTCGCATGGGTCCGGTTGCAGTCTCTTTTTTTCTGTAGCCACTCCGAAGTCCGAACGAAGTCTTTTGCATTTTACAACGGGTGAATCTGTTGTCACTGGTGATTGTCGTTTGAACCTTTCTGGATCCACCATCAAATTGATAAGTTTAATTATATCAAGTGCTGTGAGAAAAGGCTATAAATCTCCTCACACGTAATATAGCCTATAGCCGAGACTCCTTTATGTGTACAGATGTGACGTAATGACGCAAAGACATGCTCGAATCTCCCGCGGAAATCCACCAGTACCACTGGAATTAAAAACATTATTACAAGCTTACCGCTTTGAATCGAGCTAAGGCAAGCAGATAGTTTTGAACACTGGCTGGTTATGTATTTTCTCAAATATGTATTTTGGATAATTTTTAACCCCAAAAAAGCTACGGACAGCAGCTTTAACCTTAACTTCATTACGTTTTGAGAACATTTTAGTACAATAATAATGTGATATACGTATTATATTATGTGCAGTCATTATGAGTAAACATTATGAGTCACTACACACTAAAACCTTCATCTTAGATTTTAAGAATTTTATATTAGACTCCTACTCAACTCATTTTTACTATACTTTGTAGTTGTCCGGTTACATTCGTAAAAAGTGTGTAAAGACATGTAATATGTTGTGCTTTACATTACTTTTGCACTAGTGATGGTTCCATAAGGTGCAAACTCTTTCCTCAACTTCTCATCATCAATGCCGTCATCTAGATTTTTTACATAGAGATTAACCCCCTAAAATGAAAAACAATGCATGCATCAAAACATATTCCTAAATATCAACATACAATTAAGCATAAGCAAATCCTTCTCACATGATTAGGATGATATCTAATTCAGGCAGATTTGCAGATGTATAAAAGTAACCACGCAAGTAAGCATGTGTGTGTACCTGGTAGCGTTGTATGCGCTCCTGCTTTATTTGCTCAAACTTGCGTTTGAGTTCTCCCTGCCTCTCCAGTCTTTTCTGAGCTCTACCCACATACAGGACCCTGCCATTCAGCTCTTTCCCATTCATTTCAGTTACTGCCTACCACAAAGAGAAGGAAAGACTTCAGTCTCCATATCTCTGGGCTACTAACACGTACCATATAACAATTTGTTGGATTACCCTCCTGGCATCTGTGTGGTTTTCAAAGTTGACAAATCCAAAGCCACGAGAGCGTCCCCTTTCATCTGTCATCACACAGACACTAAGGGTCATACCTGTGAACCAGAGCAAACTTCAAGTAAGAGATGCAGAATCCATTTTCTTTATGAAAAGTGGTTGCCTGGGTATTATAGATCTGGGGTCATATATATATTCTCAATTCTAAAAAATGCTCTTAAAGAAAAGACTTAAGCTTTGACTTTAATTTAAAAAAAGTCTTTGTAAAAAGTAGGACTTGTGCAAGACTGATTCGTAGGTGTTAACTGAGGTGACACTTAAGTGTTAGGAACTAAGGACTGCAATGATGTCAACCCAAAAATGGTCACCCTCAATCTCAGAATTAGCCAATAGTAAGCCTGAAAAGGTAGTCACAGCAGCATGACACCAATCATTTAATGTAATTTGAATAATTATATATATATATATATATATATATATATATATATATATATATATATATATATATATATATATATATATATATATATATATATATATATATATATATATATACACATATATACATACACACACATTCAAAAGTTTGGGATCGGTACGATTTTTAAATGTTTTAAATGTCTCTTATGCTCACAAAGGCTGCATTTATTTGATTAAAAATACAAACAAACAAATATTGTGAATTATTATTACAATTTAAAATAAACTTTTCTATTTGAATACGTTTTAAAATGTAATTTATTCCTGTGATGCAAAGCTGGACTTTCAACATCATTACTCCAGTCTTCAGTGTCACATGATCCTTCAGAAATCATTCTAATATGCTGATTTGCTGCTCAAGAAATGTTTATTATTATTATTATTATTATCAATGTTGAAAACCGTTATGTACATTTTTTTTTTCAGGAATCTTTGATGAACAGAAAGTTCAAAAGAACAGCATTTATCTGAAATAAAAAGCTTTTGTAACATTATACACTACCGTTCAAAAGTTTAGGGTAGGTAAGATTTTTTTGGGGGGGATGAAGAAATAAAAGAACATTACTTTTATTCAGCAAGGATGCATTAAATTGATCAAAAGTTACAGTAAAATAATTTCAAAAAAGATTACATTTCAAATAAATGAAATAGTTGTGTACAAAAAAAATTCAGGATTCTTTGATGAATAGAAAGTTCTGTTTTAAGATTGACAATAATAATGAATGCTTTTTGAGCATCAAATCAGCATATTAGAATGATTTCTGAAGGATCATGTGAAATGATGCTGAAAATTCAGCTTTGCATCACAGGAATGAATTACATTTTAATTAATTACATAAATTCAAAATAGAAAAACAGTTATTTTAAATTGTCATAATATTTCACAATATTACTGAAGGTTTTTTTTGTTGCATTTTTAATCAAATAAATGCGGCCTTGGTGAGCATAAGATACTTTTAAAAACATTAAAAATCTTTAACAGATAATATCTATCACTAGGTTAGTTACAAAAAGAATACCTTGACAATCAAGCTTGTATCATTGTATTAAATCCCTGTCATCATATAAGTCCAAAATATTACCGGTATACATTTTCTGAAAAGATGATCTAGGAGCTGAGACCTTAACACATAGGAACCTTTATGAAATCACACTTATTCTTGAGTCTAGGAATAAGACTAAAATTATGTCATCCTTAGAATTTTGACACTGAAGACTAAAATTTTACTCCGTGTGGAGTATATGAAATCAGTGATTAAAAATCCCTTTACAAAATTGTTTACCAAATTCAGTGGAGTATATGAAGTCAAGTCAGTGATTAAAAATCCCTTTACAAAATTGTTTACCAAATTCAGTGAAGATGGTCTTCAGTTTCTCACTGTCAATATCTTCACCAAAGTTCTTAATGTACACATTGGTGAACTCCATGGCTTTAGCCCCCAACTCTGCCTCACGCTCCTTACGAGATTTAAAATGACCCACAAACCTGTAAATGACATTAAAAAAAAGATATACAAAGAAAATTGGCAAATATGATACATTTTCCACTTGAAAGGTATATTCATATTTTGAGCTTTGATGTTTATGCATAAACAGAAACCATGGATAGCTGACAAGGACAAAACTCAAAGCACAAATGAAACAATGAAAAATCAGTGGTTTTCATCTTTTTTGACTCAAAAGTCCCTGTTGTCTAACAAAACATTCTGTATATCCCCCATACACCAAGATATCCCAGTATTCCAGAAGTAATTATGGCAAAGCAGCTGGTTTAATATATTAAACCTCTTATTGATATTAAATTAACATGGTCAAGTAATTTAATATCATTAATGAACTTGAATTAATTTTGTGATTCCAGAAGTTATGTTCTATATTACAGAACTCCATGTTCTATGTAAAAAAAAAATGCTAAGGAAAAATAAAAATACATGATTCAGTTCTGAATCTTGATTTTGTTTTGGAGCATTTCAATTTAAATTAGAGTTAGATCTTATGTATATAAAATCTAAACTTTTATTGAATTAAAACAAATCAAAGGATTTGTAAAATGCTATAAAATCAAGAATCTGTGATTTGTTAATTCTTTAACCTTTATTTAACAAAAAAGGTTTTCGATGTTTTTACTGACCAGCTTAATTGTATTTTGACAGCTGCAACACACTCCAAAAAAGTTAAGACAGAGGCATGTTTACCACATCACCTTTCCTTTTAATTGCACTTTTTAATCATTTAGCAATTGAGGATACTAATTGTTGCAGTTTTGCAAGTGAATCTTTTGCCCAATCTCACCTGATACAAGACAGCAGCTCAACAGCCTGTGGTCATCATTGTCTGATTCTCCTTTTCATGATGTGCCATACATTTTCAATAAGAGACAGATCTAGCCTGCAGGCAAGCCAGTCAAGCACATCTCTTCTACAGTGTAGTGTCTGTAGCATGTGCAGAATGAGGCCTGGCATTGTCTTGCTTTCCATGATAGATGTCATATTGATGGCAGTACATGTCTCTAATCCCAATATTAGCCTCCACCTCAGTGGTACCTTCACACATATGCAAGTCACCCATGCCGTTTGCACTGATGCACCTCTATTCCATGACTGATGTTTGATTTTGCACCTGTTGGTGATGAAAGTCTAGATCAGGGGTCGGCAACAGGCGGCCCGCGGGCCAAAACTGGCCCGCCGGCAATAATATCTGGCCCGCGCCGCAGCCTGAAAAGTTCTGAAAGACATTCAAAAGAGTCTGTGGATCGCTAGACACACCTCTAAAATAACCGTCATGAAATGTCTAATATTATATTAAATGCGTCTCTATAGCACGCGTTGTGTTTATCGTGCAATTTATACACGAAAATGTGTTTTTACGTGCATATGATACGCAGTTTTTCACGTGCATTTGATATGCACTTTATTGCGTGTAATACACACGCATCCCACACCACTAATCCTACCCAACGTATAATACACACGCACCAGACACCACTACTAAACCTACCCATGCGTATCATATGCACGTAAAAACTCTTTTTCGCGTATAAATTGCACGATAGACACAATGCGTGCTATAGAGACGCATTTAGTGTGATCGGGTTGTCGTTGCAGATAAGACACACCGGCTTTGCATTTACAAAACTAGGTAGGATGAACGCATAGTTGTCTTTTTATTATTCTTTGTATAACTATTTTCGCTGTCAACTTCCCTTTTTAGACTCTTTGATAGTGCCATTTTCTCTCACCAGCTTAAATGTTAACACGACGTAATAGCGTAAAAAAAGTAGCTATGCAGTTTAGTAGGCTATGCGAGGATGCCAAGGAATAATTCTAAGTTTAAAAGTAGTCTACGTCAAATAATTATTACAATAAGTTAGACTCCATTGTGTAACAAGCAAATTAAAATGATACACATTTATTCACAATATGGAAAGAGGAAATAAAACAGTTCGTTAAGAGCATGACTCAAAAATGCCATTAATGGGCTTATTCAAGTCCTCTTTTATTTTTGTAGTTATTTTTATCCATTCCGCATCTCCCACATGTGTGTTTTAGCAAGGCAGGATGTGTTGCAAGATGCCACAATATATCGGGAGACATGTGGGTCAGACATGATTTTGACCACTTCATTAAGTTTTGTTTTGTAGAAAGCCTATCTAAAAATTTAATTTCGTTTTGTATCATTTGTATCTTATTTTTAATCAATGTTTTATCAACCAATTGCCTGTATTTAATAAAAGCAAATATAGCAGACAATATAATCGGACATGGAGGCGCCGGCGAGATTGCATTGCTTGTGAACTGGAGCTCGTCTCATAAATTAACCGAAACTCAGCGTTTAAGCTGCCTCAGACACGAAAATATATAGAAAGCTTAAAAATGTCTAATTTTAAACGAAACAATTCAAAACGAAAAGAAACCGACTACTCTCTGCTTATGTAATCCATATGAAATGTGCATTTCTCTCTATAGGCACGTTAACTACTGCGGTCACTATTGCAGCCGACTGAGCCGACACAAGACACTTATAAACAATTAAAATGTCTCCTTGCTATATTTGAAACATTCATAATCATTACTTTTGCCGGTTCCTTGTGACAGCTTTTGCGTTATTGGCAGCGTCACCCTCTGGTTACATGAACACGGCGTCACCACCGAATCAGCACCGAAAACATGGGAATTTTTTTAGACAATAATCCCACGACCTATTCGATATTCTATAATTAAATCAACAAATCGAATATTCGAAAATCGTGACTCATCCCTACTGCTTTATTAATGTATCCAGTATAAAACCCGAACACTGCCACAATGACTGGCCTACTACAGTATTTAACACAGAGTAACAGCTCACTAACATTCTAGTTGCATTTTTCATCAATTAATTTCTTAAATTATCCATTGACTATGTCCTGGCCCGCCATCTAGTGTAAAAAATTTTTTTTGGCCCGATGCCAACCTTACTTGACGACCCCTGGTCTAGATGGTCCTTTTCGTGTTTGTGACTAAGAACTCGATATCCGTTTTGGGGAAAAACGGATATCGAGTTCTTAGTCACAAACACGAAAAGGACCAAGCTAAAACATGGACTCATCTGACCAGAGCACACATTACCACTGTCTTTTGGACCATCTGAGATGAGCTCGGGCACAGAGTACCCGGCGGCATCTCTGATTTTAATTGATGTATAGCTTTCTTCTTGCGTAACAGATTTAAGTAGCATTTTTTGATGCAGCGGCAGACTGTGTTACGCGACAACGGTTTTTACAAATTACTCCTGAGCATGTGGCTATTTTTAACACAATAGCATTTTCATGCAATGCCATTTGAGGGCTCGAACGTCACGCAGAGGTTTTTATGGATTCCCTGGATCTTTAGATCTGTTTACATTTACAAATTTCAATTAATTTGACTAGTGAAAACTGATTTTTTTTCGTTGTACTTTTGTCAGTTAAAGGTATAGCGGAGGATCTTTCCGAATTTTAGAGAAGACCCGCCCTTTCCAATTTAAAAAAAATGCACATGCGCAACACTCTATTTGCATGACTTGTGCCAGGGCTAGCATCGCTAATCATAGCTTATATTAACTTTTACTAGCAGTGATTTTAAATGGATTTCTCCAAATAGCATGACAAACTTTACCTGTCTAGTAGAATCTTCGCGACTGCTGCATCAGTGGGAAGCCCAACCTGTGCTTTTAACGCACGCCAGCGTGTGAAATATTCACCCAAAATCACTCTGGTCTTTTTTCTATATTCTGCTGCCTTTCTCTTCTTATCATACACTTCGTATACATTTTTTCTCTTTCGACCCTCAGCCATTTTCAAAGGAATGGCTGAAACCGTAACTCATCACACATAATACACCTGAAAGTGCGCATGCGCAGAAAGCGAAAACTACATAGGGACGAGCACGTACGACGGCCTTACGTAAACATATCACCAGAATGATTGACACTTAGGTGGACCAATAGTATAGACTACCCACCCGGAAAAAGAAAATCCTCCGCTATACCTTTAAATAAAGGTTCAAGAGAATTAACATAATCCAAGATTCTTGATTTTAATGCATTTTGTAAAATGTCCTATACTTTTCTGGAATTGGGGTTATACTTCGAAGTCATCCTAGGACCCCCTGGTTGAGAACCACGGGTGTAAAGAAATGTTATACCACAAAGTCCATTGACAATACTTACACTTTGCGATCATTCAGAAGCATGCCGTTCATTGTGTCAATGGCTCTGTTGGCAGCTTCTTGGGTCTCAAAGTGCACAAACCCATAACCCTTTGAGCCGTTCTCGTCACAAACCACCTAGAATGAAAAATAGGCTAACTGTTAATGCCCGTTCACACCAAGGACAACTACAACAATAATTATAAAGACAGAGTTCTAAAAATCATTCTAAATGTAAAAGAATAGCAGAGTCCACACCACAAATATAAAGATTACGGCACAGTGAAACAATATCTTTGGAATCACTTTCAGAACTATTTTTTTTCCCCAGTTGATGAAAGTTAAACACATCGACAGCCTATCAAGATCCATACTACTTTAGTATCTAAAATCAGCAGATGACAAAACTGCAACACATGCTTATAGACAAAGTTATCATCCGCTGGTGTGGATGCCAATATATTTATAGTTATCTTTATGGTTTTCGTTTTTGGTGTGAATGAGCCTTTTCTGTGGGGAAAATTTGGTGCATTAGTTGCAATGATGATACTTCTTTGATTAATTTCAGTGATCTTTCATATAAAAATGCCTTTAAGAAATTAATAATCATTAAAAAAACAGTGATTAAAAAGGATGTACCTTACATGACAAGATGTTACCAAAAGCAGAAAAGGTGTCATAGAGAGCCTTGTTATCAATAGACTCATCCATGTTCTTGATGAAGATGTTTCCCACACCAGACTTTCTCAAACCTGGATCTCGCTGTGACCACATGATCCTAATTGGACGACCCTTGATGACTTCATAGTTCATTGTGTCAAGGGCACATTCCGCTTAAATATAGGGGGAGGGGGAGTGTGATTCACCATTTATAGAAGTGCTCCGATCATTTAAAATGTAGTAATTAGAGTTTAGGTAATTAATTATTATTAAAAAGTATACTTTTCATTCCACTTGAATTTTACTTAAATCAGAGTTCTTGCTTGCTAAATTCCAGAACCAAATTGCAATTAAAAAGCATTCTTACTTCAATTCTGAATGGTGCAAAACGCTAAAAGTGTCCTTACCATCAGCAGGCTGCTGGAAGTTGATGTACGCATATCCAAGGGATCTCCGTGTAATGACATCACGGCACACACGAATGGACATGATCTGCCCAGCAGGAGAAAACTTCTGGTACAGCATGGCCTCAATGACGTCAGGATGAAGGTCACCAACGTACAGAGAGGCTAACGGGTATGCTGGTCCACTACTATTCATCCTTCAAAAGCACCCCACAAAAGAGTACTTTATTTTCAGAGAAACTTGACTTTAAAGTGAATTATTTTTTACACTCATGGCCCTATTTGCTGACAAATTTTAACATTATGTAGCCGATTAAATGGTTTCTGCAGGCAAGCCAGTCAAGCACATCTCTTCTACAGTGTAATCAAACTATATACAGAATTAGATCGTTCCCACCAAGACACAATAGAGCGCAACAAGTATGGTATCAAGGCAATAATTGGAGAATTTGGCCATTTCTAATTATTCGGGGGGGGGGGGGGGGGGGGGGGGGGGGGAATGCATCTCTCATTGTCTATGGTGGTTACGGTCCTGAGTTTAAGCATTTTAACTTTCACATGTGCATGCAAAATCAGGAAACACAAATGTAATCTGAATTTGCAGGCGGGTTTCAAACGCATTGATCGATATGCTTGCATAGACTTCAGTGAAATGGGTACTGGTTCTTCTCCACGTTCTGAGGTGGTGTGCAGGTCTCATCGACAATAAACGCAAGCTCTTATCAGCCCCATCCAGAGCATTTAAATGTGATTAATACTGGATAATTTCAGACGCACATACTTCCGTGTCTGTTATCAGCTCTGCATCCCGACCTGACGATTTTTTACAGCCATGTTCGGGATAAAGATAATCACCCGGATTCACAGACTAGGTTTAAGCCTAGTCCCAGATTAAATTGGCCTGGTTGAGCTGCAGAAGACAGTGGTGTCACTATGTCAAAGAGACACTGTTTTTTCCATAACATTTCCAAAACACGTTTGTTTGACCTTCCTAAGGCTGAGGAACTTAGGCTGGTTAAAATTAATTTTAACATTGTCAGGGTCTGAATCTGGCTCGAATTGGTTTGAAATTTACACTTATTCATATTTACACTAGAGAAGAACTTGCAGTTTATGGAGGGGCGGGAAATTTCCGAACACGTGCTACGTGGTGCCAATCACAACACCCTGGGCCAGTTAACCAATTACACCCCAAAAACAAAATCAAGACTTCATTATAGGGCATAATAGGACCCATTTAAAATATGTGAGTGCCATTGCTTTGTCTCAAGATGCACACAGGTAATTATTATTATTTTTTTCCAAGGCATGATTATAAAAGCTACTTAAATATCCTAATTAAACTAAGGCCTAATCCTGGCTTAATCTAAGCCCTGTTTGTGAAACCAGTCCAAAGAGTGTGGTTGCCCTATATACATACAGTTTAGCAGTTATGGTGATATTAAGTGACTTAAACTGAAATAAGACCATATTGCTCATCTCCAAATCATTCATTCCCTTTGTGACTTTCTCGATGTCTGCACACCTTTTGAATTTCGTTTGGTCACACCACAGATGTCACTGTGGCCTTAAAGCATAATTTGCCCTTGCCTATAGAGGCTGCTCACTGCAGAGGCATGATGGAGCGTGAAGTCCAGCTTCCCCTCTCTAGAAATAATTTGGGTGTAATGGATGGTCTACAAGCTACAAGGTCCAAAACACCCTAACCCTACCCATAACTCTATCCCTCCACCCATTAGATCCACAGAGGTGAAGCTGGACTAGGTCAAGCATGACATCCAGAGAGGGGGAGCTGGACGTCATTTGGCTCTGCAATGAGCACAGGGAGCAGAACCCATTTTCAGCCCGGGATTTTAATGGCCAAAACCAGCCCCTACAAGACACCCCGCCCATTTTCAACTCGTGTTTTAACCAAGCGTCAACCTTCCGATCTCTCTCTTGAATTCAACACGGAAGTGACTTAAACTGCAATTCATCGGCTGGCCGCTACAGACAGGATCCAAAAGAGAGTCAATCCCATATACACCCCATGTTAAAATGCCTAACTTTAGTGGTTTTGGTCTATATAGCTAATTTCGCCCTTAATGACAACTGTGAGGGGGGTGAAGCCTTAAAGTTCTGCATAATTAAGGGCGTGGCCACTTGAGTGATTGCTGCTGCTGTCACTACTAGCCGTTTGTCTGCTGTCTGTTAGCCGTCACGTCACCTCAGCTAATCCCGCATCTTTGCCCATCTTCGGTTTATCACAACACCATAAAATGATGCACTCCGCCTACTTTGGGCTTCAGAAACCTATGGGTGACGTCACAGCCACTACGTCCAATTTTTTTTTTTTTTTTTTTTACAGTCTATGGTCTTAACAGGAATATTCATAAATAACCAATTATATACTACACTTTTTAGGCAAACATTCTAGATTCAAACTTATTAATAGGCATACTGCACATACAAATTAAAAAGTTAATTACATGAAAATGAATATCAGACAGCAATATGGCTTAGACTATGCTCATCTAACAAATGTAATGTTACACAGTTGTATAAAAACTTTGAGATTGTCTTGTTTTTTTATTATTTGGAAGGGAGGATTGATTGCCTTACAAAATTGTTAACTCATTTACTTTTTAAAAACAGACAGTTAAGTCTTATTTTGACAGGGAAAAAAACAACAACAAGAAAGAACATACACTGCCGTGCAAAAGTTTGGGATCGGTAAGGTTTTTAATGTTTTTAAAAGAAGTCTCTTATGCTCACCAAGGCTGGATTTATTTGATTAAAAATTCAACAACAACAACAACAACCAGTAATATTGTGAAATATTACAATTTAAAATAACTGTTTTCTATTTTAATATGTTTTAAAATGTTATTTATTCGTGTGATGCCAAGCTGAATTTTCAGAAATTCAGAATTCATTCTAATATGCTAATTTGATACTCAAAAAACATTAATTATCAATGTTGAAAACAGCTGTGTGCAATTTTTTTTCAGGATTCTTTGATGAATAGAAAGTTCTATTGCATTTATTTGAAATAGAATCTTTTGAACACTAGAACATTATAAATGTCTTTAATCTAACTTTTGATCAATTTAATGCATCCTTGCAAAATACAACTATTGATTTAAAGGTGCAATGTGTAAAGATTTTGATTATCTATTAACAGAAATGCAATATGACATTCATAACTATGTTTTCAGTGGTGTATAAAGAACTTACTTAATAAACCGTAATGTTTTTATTACCTTAGAATGAGACATTTATATCTACATAACCGCAGGCACCCCCTTCTATGAAGGTCGACATATTGTGACGTCATGTTTCTACCGTAGCCGACAGCGAACAAAAAGCGCGTTTGAGCACGTTTCGTCACTACCTTGAAAGAGAAGCAGCAGAAAGCTAGAAGCTAGCCATAAACACCGTGAGTAGTGACTTTTCCCTTGTCAGTGGTGTAAAATATGTAGTTGGATTGTTTCATGCAACTTAGTTCTTCTCCCTCACTGTGTTATGGCTTTGCTATGTGGGGATAAATGTGCTGGTTACGTTCGTGTGACAGCTGATTAGTACTCTTGTCATTGACCGTAAAACAGTAACGTTACAGGAATCACCAACCCGTCGAGCGCGGTCGACAAGTCGATCTTGGAAGCATTTTAAGTCGATCGCAAAGAGTTTTCAAAATCAGAGGAAAAAAATCAATTGTGTGTAGTAAATGGTGTCTAGGGGATGCGGAGGCGCGCGAGCTGTTACAATCATGTCACCTTTGGGCTCATGCGGACGCGTCGAGTTTAAACAAGGCTTTTCGCTTTAACCAGCTCAGCCACAGTAGCAGCTCATATTTAGCCAGCTAAACTTTTACTATCCTGTTAGAAAAAATATATAGTTGCATAGTTTCATGTGGTTCTTCTCCCTCGCTGTATTATGGATTTGCCATGTGGGGAGAAATGTGCTGGTTACGTTTGTGAGACAATCAGCTGATTACTATTATTATATTATATATTAAGACCCTTGATCCTCACCTGACTATGGCTTTGTAAACTTTATCCATGATGTGGTTTATAATGGACTGTGGTACAGAAACAGTGACAATGTTACACACTCTTGGAGTACTCTGGCTATTCTCTGCTGTCTCAGACGACGATATGTTTGTCCCGTTTTAGCCACCGTAGCTTCTTCGAAAGGGAGGGGTGAGCAGTGGGCTGAGCCCTTAGTGCAACTCGCAACCGAACCGCTAGATGTCGCTAAAAAAAAAACACACACTGCACCTTTAAAACAATAAAAAAAAAAAAGAAATCTTACTGACCCTAATGTTACAAAAGCTTTCTATTGTTGTTACAAAAGCTTTCTATTTCAGATAAATGCTGTTCTTTTGAACTTTCTATTCATCAAAGAATCCTGGGGAAAATTCTACCTGTTTTCAACATTGATAATAAGAATAAACGTTTTTTGAGCAGCAAATCAGCATATTAGAATGATTTCTGAAGGACCATTTGACACTGAAAACTGGAGTAATGATGCTGAAAATTCAGCTTTGCATCACGGGAATAAATTATATTTTAAAATATATTACGGTTATTTTAAATTGTCATATTTAACAATATTACGGTTTTTGTTGTTATATTTTTAATCAAATAAATGCAGCCTTGGGGAGCATAATTATTTTAAACACATTAAAAATCTTACCAATCCCACACTTTTGAACGGCAGAGTATATAGCACCTAAACTTTTATTTACAGCTATTATCTGTAATTATCAGTCACGCAATAATGTAAAATGCATATAGGCTATGTTAATTATCGAGAGAAAGCGGACGTAGAAGTCATGTGGCTCGACTTACGAGGTGCACAACGCTTTATAGGCCTAATAATATTTATAACCGCTGCGAAGAGCTGTGCACACGCAAGCGACAGGAACTTTCAGGTGTACGAGCACCGCTTGGCACTGTCTTCGCCACGACTTGAATCAGTGTTGTGTACTCGAGACTCGGACTCGAGACCATATTTTAATGGTCTCGGTCTTGTCATGGACTCGTGTGCATTTTGACTCGGAATTGACTCGTACTCGAACATATTAGGACTCGGACTTATTCCCGAGTCCACTCGAGACCCATTCAAAATATGTCATGATTATTACTGTATGTTAATATTTCTTTAAATTGTTGTTTGATTGAAACGTCCAATGATTGCTGACTTTCTTGTGCGC